GCCACCTCTTCCAGGGAGTACCTTCTTTACCCGTCTGGGTGAAACCCCCACTTTGGGCCACCCTGCTCCCTGGATGACCGTCACGCCCTCCCGAGGTTCGGGGCTCTCGGCGTCCCTTCCTGGGGCTCCCTTCTGACCTCTGCTCAGGCTCTGGTCTCTCATGCCAGGCCACGTTCCCCTGCTGTGTGTGCATTCTGTTTGGTTTTCTTATTTTCATTTTTAAGTATTTTATCAGTTATACCTTACAGATGCTCCATTCTTCATTCATCTCCAACTTTGTATCTTTAGTATCAGTACATTTTGTATACTAGTATAGGTATTATAATTTAGTCCTGAAAGTCAGTTAACGTGGTATACCATAGTTTTACTGAGGGCTCAAATAAATTTGAATAACTTGAGTGTTATTTTACTATATTCTACTGGGCCTGTATTTGTCTGATCTTACTTCACATTTGCTTTTGTATTTGTTCATACTTTACAAGCTGTGGTCTCCCATTGCAGCTCTGAAGACAGTGTTAGTGGGATTTCCTTACTGAGCATTGTAAGCTTGAATGAAGCAGAATGTTTAATTTAAACTTACATAAACCAGTTTGCTTTGCCAGCATTTTCTAAGCTCTACATAGATCTTTCTGCTTTCCTTTTGTAATATAAACCATCCCATTGCAAGGAAGATTATTTCAGGAAAAGTATATTTTAAATCAGTAGTATAATAGACTTTGGAGTTATTGAAGGTCTAATTACATCGTCTTTGAAACTTTAAAGACCAGTATAGTCTTAACATTTGTATTTTTTATAAGCAGTTTCAGTGATACTGAAAATGTTTTCTTCTCTCCTGCCCCCACGTTTAGACTAAAATTGCCAACTATTTAACGGTTATAGTAATTGTTAAGTTATCACTGTTTGCTCAGAAGTCTTTGTGGTCCTGAAATATAGAGGCTTATAGTTATATTTGTACAGAATTGTGTATTAATACGTAGAAGCATCAAGCATTTTCCTCCTCAAAATTGTAAGGGACTGTTAAACTGCACTATAGGTGTTGATTGTTTTCTAACACTTCAGTTTTGTCTTTTTGTCAGGGCATAAAGATGGCTTTAAACACCCATCTGTAAATATCAGTTTTGAATACACGTGAGAAGCAGGCTGCCATCCCTCTCAGTCTCTGCTGATACTAGTGTAGTCTGTCTGATTTGAGGAACATTTGGTTGTTAAGCAATGGAATTTGGTTACCAGAGTCACTGTGAAATAACATTTAGCTACAAAATCTATAATCTAATAATAACAGTTTTCAAATCTGGCCAGTAAGCAATAAGCTTAAGAGTGTTGGTCTGCTTTAGAATCTTAACTTGAATATTAGTTATGTAGAAATAGACTTAAATCTGATTGTTTACATATCTTGGACTTGAGCATGGAGTAATTTGGTCCAGGTTATGTCTGAGTTTATAATTTTATCAGTTGTACCAGATGAGTTGTACAGAAAATACTGTAAAACTTGAGATATGTTTTAAGTGACTGTGTGTGCTCAGTCTCTCAGTTATGTCTGACTCTTTGCAATCCCATGGACCATAGCCCGCCAGGCTCTGCTGCCCATGGAATTTTTCCAGGCAAGAATAATGGAATGGATTGCCATTTCCTACTCCAGAGGATCTTGCCTACCCAGGGACTGAACCCACATCTCCTGCATTGGCAGGCGGGTTCTTTACCACTGTGCCACCTGCAAAGCGCCTTTTAAGTGACTAGTTGTTTTTTAAAAAGCTGTACGAAATGTAAAAAATTAGTAACATACAACTTCTTATTATTAATAGTACAATGGAAATTTGTCTAATACTGACTTTAAGTCATTTATAGGTAGGTCAGTGTAACAGTAATATCATGCCACTATAGTGTAGTGTTGCTAAAAACATCCTGCATTTCACATTTCTGTACATATTAAAATTCTAATCTAAATGTGTATTAGTCTCTAGTTCTACCATGTTAGGGGAAAATGCCTACATGAAGCCTCAGAACTTTTTTATTGCCAGGTTTCCATACCATTACAGCCAATATATCAACTACACACAAATCCGTAAATGCAGCAGAGGCTCTTACTGTTTAGCAGTTATGCTGATTTCATTGCAGTAAGTAGTCTGGATAATCAAGCTGATGTCATTTTTTGAAATATTTCAGTTATAACCAAAAGCAGAGAGGTGTTTATGTTTTGGACTTTACCTTGTCATTAGCATCTTTTCCAATGCATATTTAATTTAGATGAACATCCTTTAAGGTCTGTGCCTAAAGTTTTAGTTCATATATAATAAGATTAGGGAATATTATGAAAGAAAACCTTGATAAAATATTAGTTGGAATACTGCTTATAAAACTTAAAGGGAAAAGTTGCATTTAAAATCATTACTTTGAGTGTGTACACATAACTTTAGTATTTCTTTCTGCTTTATCTAAATAGCCAGGATTAAACATTTTAATCTAGTTACTATGGTTTCAAAAATAGTTTTAAAAAACTAGATTTTGTAAAGTGTATTCTTTGTTGTTATTCACTTAGAGATATCATATTTTTATAAACAGGAGCTCTGTTTTACATGTTTGGTGTTAGAGTACAAAGATCATCCCTCTTATCTTTAGGGTCTCGTAGTTTAATGACAGGTAGATAAGAAACTGTTTAAAGTTGACTTGCTAGGCTTTTGCTGCTGTCCCTGCTGTGAGATCAGTTGGTGCCCAGAAGAGGGTAAAATGTCTTTGAACCAGCTGTTGGACCAAGACTTCTCCAGGGGTGATCCTATTAAAGGACCAGGCCCACACACATGGGCACTTCTTGTATCGTATCACCTGGTTACTTTTGACAACTTTTTAATTCCAAGGTGATGCTTTTTCTGTAACTGCAGATTACCAGGAAAGTTATTTCCATGGGTTGTCAATATATATTTATTGCATACTGTTTATACTGAGGTTTTTGGGGAAAAGGAAATTAAAGGTGAGAGACCCCTGCTACCCCTTTATTGCATTACTTAAAAATGCGATAAAGTCATATTTAAAGAAGTGATGTAGGCTGTTGTAGTGTGTGCTGTGTGTGCTCAAGTCATGTCCAACTCTGTGACTCCATGGACTAGAGCCCACCAGGCTCCTCTGTCCATGGAATTTTCCAGGCAAGAATACTGGAGCGGGATTCCGTTTCCTTGTAGGCTGTTGTAATGGGAATTTATTGATTTGGAGAAATTAAGTCAAATTTATTAAAGTTCTGCTCATAAAATTTAGTAAAGATTTTTCCACATCCTAGGTTTTAAAAAAACCTTCGCTGTCAATTTTAAATTATTAACCTGTTGTAAAGGAGTTTTGCTAATTGTTTTTATCACTTCCATCATTTAATCCCCACAACAAGCTGGTAAAATAGACATTGTTTTTATTCTTATTTTAGAGATGAAGAAACTGAGACTGATGGAGGTTAAATAACTTACCCACAGTCTCACAGCTGCTGGGCGGCCTGTCTGGTTGGAACCTGAATCTGAATCCTACTCATAACTGTGTGGTTTTCTGTCTTGTTTTCCCACACTGACACATTCTTCACTGTGCTATGTAGCATTTGCTGTTTTAGGCTGGGATCTGATCATCTCAGGGGCTTCCCTCGTTGGCTCACATGGTAAAGAACCTGCCTGCAATGCAGGAGATCTGGGTTTGATCCCAGTGTCTGGAAGATGCCCTGGAGAAGGGAATGCCTACCCACTCCAGTATTCTTGCCTGGAAAATTCCATGGACAGAGGAATCTGGCTGACTGCAGTCCATCGGGTTGCAGAGTCAAAGACTTATTTAAAAATTAAAAAAAAAATTATAGGAGTATAGTTGATTTGTAATCTGTTAATTAAGACTTATCATTTAATTTTGACTGTGTTAGTTGCTCAGTCGTGTCCAACTCTTTGCTACCCCATGGACTATAGTCCGCCAGGCTCCTCCATCAGTGGGATTTTCCAGGCAAGAATACTGGAGTGGCTTGCCATTTCCTTCTCCAGGGGATGTTCCTGACCCAGGGATTAAACCTGGGTCTCCTGCATTGCAGGCAGACTCTACTTTACCATCTCAGCCACCAGGGGAGCCCTCATTTTGACTATGTTATTAAAATGAAACTGCAGAAGGCAAAAGAGAGAGATGATTGCCCTGTTGGTTGCAAGGCAACATAGTTTTCCCATTTCCCTGGTGGCTCAGTGGTAGAGAATCCACCTGCTAAGCAGGGGATGCAGGTTTGATCCCTGGGTGGGGACGATTCCTTGGAGGAGGAAATGGTAACCCACTCTAGTATGCTTGGCTGGGAAATCCCATGGACAGAGGAGCCTGGTGGGCTACAGTCCATGGGGTTGTGAAAGAGTCAGACATGACTTAGTGACTAAATAGCAACAACAACAATAGCTTTCTCACCCCAATGCTTAATATTAACTTATAGCTATCTTTTTTGGGGGGAGGTCTAGCTTAGAATCAGCATAAAAAATATTTTCTCACCTTTTATTTTTAGCTATTTTAAAAAATAAGCATTAATCATTATATGTCTGTGGTGAATTGTACTTTTTTTTTTTTTTTTAAACTGAGAGCACATCCGTGGCTGATTCATGTCAAGGTATGGCAAAAACCACTACAATATTGTGAAGGAATCAGCCTCCAACTAATAAAAAATAAATGAAAAAAAAAAATGGAGAGCATAGAAAACATTCGAAGGGGGAATAGGTTGTGTTTTTTAATGCTCGACTTCCAAAAAGGTTTAGATTGATTGATGAATGATAACCGTTTAAAAAATTTTTTCTAAGCTTTTAAAATGCTTCCAAATTAAAGATATAATTTTTAAGCAGTGATTGGTTTTGTCTGAAAAATCAAATGTAGAATATTGTTTAGTTTGATCAGCAATGTGAATTTTTAAAAGTAATGGTAATTGTTCCAATATTCTCTATCAATTGTTTTATGTAACCTGGAATTGTGTGTGCTTTTACACATACCCAAACTGATATGTTGTTATTTTTATTTTACAGGAGCCCTCTAGAACAGTTTCAGGCAGATACAAAAGGTAAGAATTCTGAAGTTATGACTAAGAACCTATTGTAGACATAAGTGTAATGTCAGAAACCTTAATTGTCCTCTTAAAAAGAAATGACATTGTAGGTAGACCACAACTTATTCTCACATACTCTGCAGTCTTTGAAAACCGCACACAGCATGGATTTGTGAAGGTTTGGTGAACCTAGCAAAAGAAAACTTAGTCATTTTCATTTGTGTATTTAAACACTGAAAAGAAATGCCATAACAAAATGCCATAGACAGGATGGCTAAAATAGAAATTTATTTTCTCACAGTTCTGGAGGCTGTAAAATCCAAAATCAGTCAGAGTGCCAGCATGGTCTGGTTCTGATGAGGGTTTTCTTCCTGACTCTCAGAGAACTGCCTACTCACTGTGTCCTCACGTGATGGAGAGAGAGTGGGTAATTTGGTCAGATTCTGTGGGTAAAGGCCCTCTTGCCAGTTGCAGACTAACATAACAGCTTGTCACCGAGTCCTTACATAGTGGAAGGGGCTAGAGAGCTCTGTGGCATTAGTGTGCTTAGAAAAGTGCATAAGGACTCCAACTTTGTGACCTAGGCCCCTTCCAGAGTCTCACAGCCTAGTACCCTTACATTGGACATTAGGATTTCAGCATAAGAATTTGGAGGGACACAAGCATTCAAACCATAGCAAGTCCATAGCACCACCTATTCACAATTGAATAATGCTTTTTACGAGAATTTGTGTTTGAGTGTATGTGCTCATGTATAGGAGGAAGACCAGAATTAAGTATGAGAACTTGTTTAACAGAGACGCCTGAAGTAGTAGCGTCCTTCCCTGTTGAAGCCATAAAGTTGCAAAAGATGTGGTCATCATGCTTGTGCTAATAATTATAGAATAATGGTAAATCTCATCAAGTCTTATATATAATGTCCAGGGTGCTTTATGGAGAACTCATTCAGTTCTTGCAGTTATCGTATAAAGAAGGTACTGTTGGTAAAATATTTACTTTTACTTTGTAGGTAGGGGAAATGAGATAAAGAGGTAGAATCATTTCGCTGTGGTTATAAAACTAGTCAGTATGAGCCCAGATTTGAACTCAGGCAACCTGACTCCAGAACCCACATGCCTGTGCGAGACAATCTAACCTCTGTTTTCCTCTGTTTGATGTTAAGTTTAAAATATATGGTTAAAAGTTGTAATTGTTATAGTGTATATAAATAAAATATTAAGAAGAGCTGTAATTTTATTACTAAGTTATTTAATAGAAAAGATTTAAATATTTAGTGATAAAACAATGTTTAAGAAGGCTAAGCTAATCAACAACTGAGTAAGTAAATCTGATATATTTGTCACTGCTGTTGCTTTTATTTTAATTTCTGAGTAATTTTGATATAGGTATAATGAAACCTGTGGTTCCTTTAAACTTCTAACATGTAAGCATTGTTTGGAAACTTTTACTTAGCATGACTTAGTTTAAACTGGAAAGAATCTTTTTTTGTTTGCTAGCAAGCATTGCCAATCAAAAAGCTTTGATTTGGCCTGTTTGCAGGCCACGTTCTCAAACCAAAATATTTTTATCAAGTTTTTGTTTTGGGAAATAAAAATGAACTTCAGTAACTTAACACATTTGTTGTATCATTCATACACATTTAGTTCTTAAGTAGTACACTTTAAATTATAATTGGCACTTTTCAGATTTGCATTCTTTAGTTAGAGTCATTAGGGGAATAATTTCCTTACAAATCTTCATCAAAAGTTTTATTTACCATTTATCATTTATTTACCATTTATCATTGTGTTAAATCAGGAAGACAATTGATTTCACATGGTGTATGTTTTTATTTTTAAGCTTTTTAGACCATTATTTTACTTGTGACCTGTTCGTACACTTGTTGCTGCTTTTATTTTCATAGCCTAGAACATGTGGTTTGTTACTTTTCAACTCTCAAAGGTTTAGCCATGTTTAATACTACTAAAAAAACAAACATTTTTTAAAGTTACTAATCATTATTCACAAACTCATTGCAACTCAGACACAAGATAAACAAACAAAATCTAGATCTGAACTTATCAGTGCCTTATCTAGAGGAATTTGTTGTATTGTATATCAACAGTTCATTACATTCATTAATCTGTCAAGTTGCAACAAAGACTGGAGAATGTATATTTCTTAGAGAGGGTGTCTGCTGATTAATGGGGATAAAAAAAGGAGGAATGGGCTAAAGGATAGATATTTGGCATTATATGTTAGAAAATATTTTCAGTTAACCAAATAACTTATACATATGGCTAGACAAACTTAAAAAGTCATTAGAGGATACAAGCCATCCACAAGACCAGTTGGTGTGTTCTTATAAATTATGAATTAAATATTAATTTTTTCTTACAGATATCAAGGATGCATTGAATTTGTTAAGCAGTGACTCTAGTTATGCCCTATTTTATTGAGTCAACTCGTTTACCTAGAACATCTCTTAAATATTCACTGAACTCCTTTTTATAAAACATGTTTAAATGGGGCTTCCCTGGTGGTCTAGTGGTTAAGGCTTTGCGCTCCCAGTGCAGCTTTGATCCCTGATCAGGGAACTAGATCCCACATGCCACTGCTAAGAGTTTGCATGCTGCAGCTAAAGATTCCGCATGCCACAGCAGAGATTGAAGATCCCTGTGTGCTGCAAGTAAGACCTGACACAGCCAAAGAAATAAAATTTTTTTTAAAAAAACAGCTATGTTTTAATAACTTTGGAAAATTATTTGGAGGTGGGGGTTATAAAGCTTCTGAAACTTAAGGTTTAGGAAGGGTGGACCAGTGGTCATGTGTTTATGGGGTTTTTTCCTCCCCAATGTGTGTAATTTTCGTAATAGAATGTTTACTTGGTGTATTTTAACATATCAGAAAAGAACATGTATGATAGCCCCTAATGGAAAAACTTAAATTTATAACAATGAGATAGCGTATATGCTGTAATATATTAATGTAAAGTTACAATACGGACATTAAACTGATGTAGAAAACATTACCTATAAGAATTAATAATTATAGGAAAATTATTACCTATTTATATTAAACGAGCAGAGGAAGAGCATATAACAAAGGGTATGATAATAAAACAGTGTCTCTTATATAAAGTGTTCTAAACTTGAACTCTATTGACAATCTGCTAAATTTCTATGTAAAAGAATATGCTTATTTGGGAGAAGAGCTATATTTTTCATCAGATTTTCAAAGGGATCTGCAATCCAAAAAGGTTATGAACTACTAATATTGATATATTGTGGAATTGTGGCTCAGCTGGTAAAGAATCCACCTGCAATACGGGAGACCTGGGTTCGATCCCTGGGTTGGGAAGATCCTCTGGAGAAGGGAAAGGCTCCCCACTCTGGTAGTCTGACCTGGAGAATTCATGGACTGTGTAGTTCATGGGGTCGCAAAGAGTTGGACACGACAGAGCGACTTTCACTTTGACTTTCATAACATCTGTTGTCTGTGGGTTATTGGGGTTACTGGAGAGACTGATCATACTATCTGTTTCCCACAGTGAATATGTACCCCATAATTTTAATAGAGTCTGAGAAATTATTTTTATATTTAGTTGTTGCTCTGTCTATGTGTGTGTATTTAAAGGGAGAGAGAAAACCTACACAGAGGGTGGGGCTGTTGAGGACAGGGGGACTGGAGTGGCGGAATACAGTAAGGTAGTGAAACATTGAAAATAGGGAGACCAGTCTTGTGCGTGTTGGTTATTTAAGAATTTTACAATTTATCCATTACTTTTGAATATTTGATATCCTTTCTAAAAGGAGGATTTTACTCATGAGTCTTGTATTACGTCTAATTGCAAAACTTTAAAATAATCTCATGGTGCTGCCAGTCTTGTCCTCATGGTAGTTTTAGAATAACAGTGTTTTATCTCCCAACACAACACCTTCTGCTCTTCCCACAGAAGATATGAAAATTCCCAGAGGGGGGAAATTTTCAGTAAAGGGTGGTGTTTGTCCTTGATAATACTGTTTATTCTTTTTCCTTTTCTGAACATTTTGGTTAATAACTTTGTAGCTAAGGGCAGAGGAGGATTCTTTTTGGAGTTGTATTAGTTAGAGATTTGTGTTAACATTCCTGAGTAGATCGTTGTAATCTTTTTGGACTTAATAAAGCAACCTTTTATTCTGGGTATTGTGCACTATACATATCTAGCCCTGAAAATTGGTTAAAACATTTCTGTTTTTAAAATAAACAGAGCTAAATTTGGCAATAAGAGCTAGTAACACAGTTATTCAAAATTATGACAAGTATTCTTTACAAACATAATACATAGTGGGGATAAATCACTGATTTTTTTTCAGTAATATTCCTTGGTTTGAATTTGTATATGATCATTTGTCTAAAGCCTAATATGAAGGATTTTTTAAATTATTAATAGGTTAAACTTTTTGAAATCTTATTTTAAGCTTGTATGTACATCAAGCAAATATAGACATATTAAGGTATATCCACATGTTTAGGTTTTTATTTGTAGTTGTCAGCATTGTGGTTTGTATTTGAATAATCATGTGGTTGATGCAGGTGAGTGGACCTTTTTTAAGTGAAAAGAGGACTTTAAAATGATTCCAGTTCTCTTTTATATATGCTGCAACTTAGGTGATACTATTGATTTTCTTTCTACCCCTCTGCTGGTATTTCCCAGTTTTATTTGTAGTTCTTCCTTTCCTGTACTTACTCTTTATGTGTTGGTGTTACTCAGCACTTTGTCTTACTCTTTTTGTTCTGTTTATTTGTACTAGAAAATTTTTTTTACTCTGATGACTTCAGTTATTTTATATACCTGTGCTGATTCCAAATCATTAGCTCCATTCCTATATAATCAACAACTTTTAAATATCTATTTTTAGATATCTTCAGTTCAGTTCAGTTCAGTTGCTCAGTCGTGTATGACTCTTTGCAACCCCATGAATCGCAGCACGCCAGGCCTCCCTGTCCATCACCAACTCCCGGAGTGCACCCAAACCCATGTCCATCGAGTCAGT